CCCTGCCAGCTTGGCCTCAGCCCTGGGCTTTATGAGGGCCAGGCCCTGCCTCCTACAGGCAGCTGGCTCTCCTTAGTTGTCCTGGCAACCCTCAGCTGTGCTCATTAAGTCCTGCCAGGGCTCTCTCTCCCTGCCAGTTTCTACTCCCTAGGAGCAGGCACTAAGTTGCCCTGCGACATAGGGCCTTGTTACACAGTAATTTTAGGTGTCTTCTAGAGCTCTTAACTTCTGGATTAGCTGCACGTTAACACCTGTTAAGTGGCTTGTTATTCATCTTAAAGTTACCCCACTTTACGGGGTGGGCGGATGAGAAAAGGATGGGTTTCAACATTGACAAGTGCAAGGTACTGCACCTGGGGAGGAAGAACCAGCAGCATACCTACAGGCTGGGGAACTCCCTTCTTGTCAGTGCAGAGGCAGAAAAGGATCTTGAAGTCATTATTGATGACAAAATGAACATGGGCTGACAGTGTGGGGACGCGGTCAGAAAGGCCAACCATATCTTGTCATGCATCCACAGATGCATCTCAAGCAGGTCCAAGGAGGCGATCCTCCCCCTCTATGCGACACTGGTCAGGCCACAGGTGGAGTACTGTGTCCAGTTCTGGGCGCTGCACTTCAGGAGATGTGGAGAACATGGAGAGGGTCCAGAGGAGGGCCGCTCTCATGATCAGGGGGCAGCAGGGCAGGCCCTATGAGGAGAGGCTAAGGGACCTGAATCTGTTCAGCCTCCACAAGAGAAGGCCGAGAGGGGATCTAGTGGCCATTTACAAACTAGTCAGAGGGGACCAGCAGGCATTGGGGGAGTCCCTGTTCCCCTGAGCACTACCAGGAGTGACTAGAAATAATGGTCACAAGCTGGCAGAGGGTAGATTCAGACTAGACATCAGGCACTGTCAGGGTGGCTAGGATCTGGAACCAACTTCCAAGTGAAGTGGTGCTGGCTCCTACCCTGGGGGTCTTTAAGAGGAGGCTAGACGAACACCTTGGCAGGGTCGTTTGACCCCAGTACTCTTTCCTGCCATGTCAGGGGGCCGGACTTGATGATCTGCTCAGGTCCCTTCCGACCCTACAAACTATGAAACTATGAAACTTCAGGGCAGGATTATCTCTAATCTGCCTAATTTTGCTCCTGTTCCATTAGGGTGTGACCATTTTCCACAGCTATTCTGCCCCAGGTGAAGTCCTCAAGCATCCCAAAAATCAGTGACCCTTTCTGAGTCAGGGTGGGGGCATCAGGGAATGGGAGGGCCAGGCAGGGGGCCTCCTCCCTGCTGCTCCCACCAGTCAGAGCCAGTGCCACAGCCCTGGAGCTCAGCTCACTCACTCTACTCAGGCCCAGCAGTCCAGGAACATGCCTGGTGGGGGGAGAGAGGGCGGTGCATGGGCAGGACTTCTCGCCCTTGCCGGGCTTGGGAGGTAGCTGTGAACAGCTCAGGCTTCCCATCTGCTCTGTGGAGCCCCAGCCTGTTTGGACAGGCCAAACCCTGGTGGCCAGACTCCACACAGCCCAGTGGAGCACAGGGTCAGTGGGAACTGGCCTTGGGCTGCTGCACTGCAGCTGCCAAGCTCCTCCCTGCTCCAGCTACCTGACCCACTGGGGCGTGTGACTGGGTCCTGGGGACCGAATCCTTTTTTTCCTCCAGAGCTCACTCTCCTTCACTGCCACTAGCCATGGTGCCAGTTGGCCAGGAAATGCCTGAGTGCCCAGGAGCCTGATCCTTTTCAGAATTCAGGCAGTGCCTGCCTGCCTGGCAACCTGGGCAAGGGCAGCGCGGGGGCGGGGGGCAGGCTCTGTAGATAAAAAGGATCAGGCCCCTCAGAGCTCAAGCAGCAAGCCAATCCTGTCCCTAGCTCTTAGTTCTGCCCCTGCTCACCAACCCTCTAGTGGCAAGTCACAGCTATGCAAGTGAAGGACAGTCAGAGATGGTTTTCTGCATTAAGGTGTGACTGCTCCACTAAGCAAAACAACACTAAGCTGATTAACATTCGTTCAACTTACAGAGTAATGTATAACAGGTCCCTTCATTTGCACAATACAGAGAACAAGAAGAAAATGTGAC